CATTCCCTCCACCCCTTCCCTCGGCCGGCCCGCCCTGCGTCACTTCCAATCCTCGCCCTCACTGCCACTATGCTCTCCCAGTCTCGCTCCAGCCGGCGGCATGAAGCTTCCCGCACTTCGTCCCATCGTCACCAAGAGCAGCGGCCTGTCAGAGGTGCCTTTCGAGATGGAGGAAGAGGAGGACCAAGAGCCCAACTTTGACATTCCCCAGTCAAAGGAAGAGAAACCTGCCGCCTACCCCAACGGCCCCATCTGTATATATCCCGCTGGCGTCTATCTGTATTTCGAACCCACCGCCGAGCAGGCTGCCACCTTTGACGTCATTGTCAACGTCGCTAGCGAAGTCCAGAACCCCTTCACAACCACCACCTCGGAATCGCAAAAGGATCTCAACGCAAGGCGAGTCGACGGTCCCGCCGCAGAAAATGTCGATTTCGCCGCACTGTCGCAACAGCCAAAGTCCACCTTTGGCTTCGATAGCAACTCGCCCACCACGCCAAAAGCTACTCCACCTGTCCTGCAAACCATCCAGCCCGGCCAGATTGTCCTCAACGGCAAGACGTACCGCACACCCGAGTACATTCACATGCCCTGGGAACACAACACCGACATTGTCCCCGATCTGTACAAGCTGGTCAAGATCATGGATGACCGAGTGAAGCAAGGCAAGCGCGTGCTTGTACATTGCCAGTGTGGTGTCAGTCGCTCGGCTAGTCTGGTCGTTGCCTACGGCTTGTACAAGGAGCCCGAGGTCAGCGTCCAGGAAGCCTACGACAAGGCCAAGAAGCGCAGCAAGTGGATTGGGCCCAACATGAACCTCATCATGCAGCTCCAGGAGTTCCGCAACGGCCTTCTCAGGCAAAACCAAAACAGTCGCTCCTACCAGAACCAGGGCTTTGGCCGACGAGTTGGCTTCCCCTCGACAACCTCGGGCGCCAACAATAGATTCTCTTGCCCCAACCCGGAGAGAGAAGACACGTCGGGATCGCGCACCCCTCAGACAGCCCCGTTACCGCCCGACACCGACATCAGCATGCAGCGAGCGAGCACAGGCAACATCATGGCCATCTCTCCAGGGCCGCTGTCCGCTCCCAGTGGTGCGTTTGCTGCACGGTTCCGCAATTCTTGGGATTCGAGCCACTCGCACTTTGACTTGTCTACCAACTCTACACCAACCACCACGCCCTATGTGGATCCAAAGGGACATGTCGTACCAGTTGTCGAGGTCACCGTCAACGATTCCTCTGCACCGACAATGCTGACACCCGCCGTTCCTCAAGTCGTGCAGCCAGAGCCTGCATCGGAGAATTCTTCGGTTCCCAACTTCTCACGTCAACTGTCATTGCGGTCTTACGCGGATGCCCCTGTAGAGCAGTCTATGGAGACAGCGCCACCAGCGCTGAGGAGCACCCACCTCGCGCCCATGAAGCCCATGGGATTCGCTCCGCTCAAATCGCCTGCCGCATTGACCTTCAACATCCCTTCTTTCAGCTCGCAACAAGATTCGGACGATGACTGTGAGATCAAATCACCAATCAAGACATCGTTCGATCTTCCATGGCCTTCGGAGTACGACGAACCAGAATCCTCCCTATCAGTACCGAAAGCGCAAGACTCTTTCCGCCTTGGAGCACCTCCCAAATCACCAATGTTCCCGCCACCTCGCATGACGCTGCCGACGTCGAGGAGTGATCGTAGTGAAAAACCGCGCAATTTACTACCTTTCCGTGCTACGCAAGAACCCAGCCAATCCACAGAAACGTTTGCGAGGACAGAGAAGACAGAACGGCCTCCGGATTTTGCCTCGCCGACGTTTGGCTCGTTCCCCAAGGATGCGTTTGGTCAGACGAGCGGTGGGCCGGGTAACCCCTTGAGGTCTCCCCGGGCTGCAGAATTTCACATGGCACCTCTTAGGCCAGGGACTGCGGACGAGGATCCGTTCGGTCTGACGTCGCCAACAAGAAGAGACTTTTCGTCAGGAAACCCATTCGACGGCCTGGCCAGTTCTCAGCATGCCGGAGGCGAGGACCGGCGACTGACTTTCCAGGCCATCCTTCCTCCTTCGCATCAAACATTCAACGGGTTCGCTTCACTCGATGGACATGCCCGCACGCCTTCAACTGCGACTGACTCTCTTGAGTTCTCGATGCAAGCACCTCCACCAAAGCGCAAAGCGAACGTTGAATCGCGCATCGACAGCCTGAGCACTTCTCCCGAGACAAACGTCATTGCATCCACACCGACGCAAGCATCTAGCCAGGTGGTGCCACCGGAGAGGCCAGCGACACCGAGGACCACTGCTTTTCTCGCAACACCCTCCAAAGCTATACGAACACGATTCTCCTCGCCAAACATGAAAGAGCAACGGCAGCTGTCAAAGCTCCAATCCGAGATGGAATCCAAGCTAGCCAAAGACGCGCCGCAGCAGACCATGGATGACCTGGATGCACTCATGTCTCCACGTGCAGAAGAGTTCACCAGGAACCCTTTCCACCTTGACCTGACCCCTTCGGCCGAAGATGTCAGTCCAACCTCGTCGGACGAAACTATCAAGGACGGCCAGAACGGGCATACTTGGAGCGAGCCACCACGACAATGGACGCCTGAGAAGCTCACTGTCGACCCGCGAAGTCCAGCGCAGACAGGCAGCAGTCCCATTGTACGCAACATCTGGGACGTATTATGATTGACAATGCATACACATCCGTGGGTTCCTTTCTCCACAATTACGACTCGCCAATGTACTGTCTTTTACGGCCTCCATCGCAATGATCAAGTCGGGTCCGTGCGCGCCAACAAGCACCCGAGCGCTCCGGGTCAATCTCCGCTCCATTCGCCAACCAATATCCTTCGGAGACCTCTTTCGGCGAAAACGTCGCGACCAAAACGCTTCAAAGGCGTTAAACTTTGACCGTTGGCGACGGCAAATTTCCCGAATCGGCCAGCGTACGTTAGTCAAGGGGCCGTTGCAAGCCTAGACACGTCGTTCACGGCTCATCCATGCACGATTTGCACATCGATATGCACACTGAGCTTCCCCTACAAGCACAGATTCTTCATCGTCGCGCCTATCGCCATTTCCTATGTCTGTTTTCCTTTGTGCAAGCCACCATACCCCGGCATCTTGACCGTGGAGGTCCCCACGCGTTGAATTACAAACAGATCTGTAATGTTCTAGTCTTTAGTCACATATGCTAGTCCCGCGAGAACCGCCCTCCACACGACTACATTCGCTCTTCCGCCCCTTATTGAAAGCACTGCATACCGTTCGAACTTGTTTGTTTCGGTACATGCACCCACTCGCTTTGTACATCAACATCACAACACATCATCCGCACCATTCTCTTTCCATCGTCACGAGTCACGTAATCGGCGTGTTCGGTCTTGTCTGTCTTGTCTTGCATTTTCTGCCTCTGTTTTCTTCGGAGCTCCTGCACGAATGAAGATCCGCATCACAGATGGCGGCATCTGGGAGTATTTAGGGAGCGTGGATTAAAGTCCATAAGGGGGAGAAAGTGAGGGCAGGGAATGGAATATTGGGACCCTCGCTTTGATACACAATACCATACCATACCCGCAAAGAGAGTATGTAGATGAAATGGAAAGCAGATATATCATCTTGTGTGTTTGTGGCTTGCAACGTGCTTGTTGAACTTGACGTTTGTGATTGCTGTTATTGAAGGTTGGAGGGAGAGTGGGAACCCTTCACGCTTGTTTTCGTCGTTGTAGTCTGGGGGCAAGTGAGTGAGGCGGTTGTGGCCATAGGGAGGGGGGAAAGTGAGCGTACGAGATATTCCGTGCACTGGAGATTCGAGCTCAATGTACTTGACTTGCAGGCTATGCTCTATTTAGGAGATTCGAAGTAAGAAGGCGGTATACTGAGCGCTAACAGAGTGATGAGTAGAGAGTCGTCATGTACAAATATGGAGATCGCACACAGTAATGCTCCTAACAACCCGTCCCCGCGTCGCAGTGCACTCTGCCAACAGATTTGCTGCGTCGACTAAATGTTGACCTGATAAGCGCATCAGGCAGTGGAAGGGGAGAGGAAACAGGATACGAGACATTCCTTCCATGCAACAGCGTCTTTGTTCTTTCTCGAACTTCAAGATGTTCTTGAAGAACGATGAAAGGACTAATATCAGTTGCGGCTTATACCTTCGTTACTGCGTCTGTCTTTTTTCAGCTGCTGGGTACGGCTGCTCGCGTCGCACTATAATATCAACTTTGGGATGAGAGAACGTTGGTTAGGACGGTGGCAGTAGAGGAGTCAATTCGTAGACATGTCTGTGTTTGAGAGAGTTGATGGTTGTTTGAAAGTGGCGATGTTGTGGTTGTGTATGTCTATATGTGCCGAGCAGGTATTGACTTGTAGATGCAGTCAGCATGGCTTGCTACACAAATAGTGAGGTAATCGATTGGTTGGTTCAAGATACGTTTGAGTATGCAGTCTCTTGTTACGGTGGGTTCGATGTGTATAGCCAGCCTGTCTAACAGTTTGTACTACTGTCCATCAGTCTAGAGTTGTACAGCTTGTGCAATTACTCAGTTAGTAGCGAATGATCCTACTTAAAGTAGTTGTGAACACAGCTTACTATCTCTTTACTGAAAAAAACAATACTACTGCTATCCCACGGCCGTACTACTGCTTTGAGAATTCATCTGTAGCCGTATAGTAGTTAGCATGTACCATAACATAGAATGTTAGATACGTTATGTGGGAGTTACAACTTGGTAGAGGTACAGACTGAAAGGCAGAATCCAAACACCCGTGCATGTCAATTCTTCCGAGATACTAGAAGCTCGAAGCATTAAGCGCACTACCTATGTGGGTATCTCATATTATCTAGTGTCTTACATACCCCACCTTGCTGACGCTCTCGCTTGCAACGCTCCGTGCTTTTACCCACAAACCACTATCTTCACCATCCACCGCTCTCGGTTTCAAAAAATTTCAATACTGATATATATCCCAAATCCTAGCCAAGTTTCTATAAATAGCTACTTTGGCCGAGCGGTTAAGGCGTGTGACTCAAGCGAAAGCTTGCCTTCTTGGAGGTTTCTCATAGACATTGTCTGCGTGAGTTCGAATCTCACAGGTAGCATCATTGGCTCAGTGGTCTAGTCGTATGATTGTCGCTTCGTAAGTGTCCTTACTCTGACTCAGAGCGAAGGGCCACATGAACTAACAATATCCCAGGGGTTCCAAGCCCAGATACTGAGTATCGTAGATGTGACAGGTCCCGGGTTCAAATCCCGGCTGAGCCCTTTCTTTTTGGAGTTGTAGAACTCTGTTTTGTGGTTTGTTTTGTTGATGTGTTGGGTGGTGGTGGTGGTGGTGATGGACACGTGATTCTGCGTGACAACGGCGACGGCTACAGACTTTTGTGCAAAAGATTTGCTATAGGGCAGATAAACCTACAACAATGCACTTATTTGTTGCTTTTATTTCAACCCTAGGCTTCGCTTTTAAGAGGTCGGAACGTCTCTAGGTAAGCTCATTTTCAACATCACATGGGCTCGCGTGCGCCAATGTCCGTGCCACCTCGCGACGCGTTTGCCTAGCAGTAGTCCAAGGCTGCACCGCTCTCCGCCGCAATACCGATACGCTTATTGCGTTGGCCTTTGCCATCTGTTCTCTTAGCAAGCGATTCCTCTTTACTCACTTCTTGCCTCGATTGCAGCGTGACCAGACAAAGAATCAAGCAAGCATCAACGTCCTCTTCAAGCTCGCCCAGCACGTGCCAAAAGAGCAAGGAAATCGCAATTGCTCGCAACCATGACAGGAAAGGAAGCGACAGTGTACATTGTGGACGTTGGCTCGTCAATGGGGCGGAAGCGTCACGGACGCGACCACACGGATCTCGACTGGGCGCTAGACTACGTGTGGGACAAGATCACAACAACAGTATGCAGACGTTCCTTTGGTGATCTAGTGCGTGACGCATTGTAATGCGTCAAGTTTGTTTGGTTTATGAGGTCAAGATGCAACGCTGACGACCAAGCAGGTTGCGACAGGAAGGAAAACAGCGCTGATGAGCGTGATTGGCTGTCGCACAGATGCATCAGACCTGAATGGTGTTATGGAAGAGGCTGAGGGTTACGAGAATATCACAGTGTTCTCGGAGCTGAAACAGTGAGGTTATTCGACATTACGTTGGCCAAATTGCTAACGATGACGAGATACCTGTTAAGCGACATCCGAAGGTTGCAAGATCGGCTGAAGCCTAGCAAGACGAACGAAGGAGACTGTAAGTACTCAGACTTGTTTGGCGTGCTCATACTTATTCTGTCAGTGGTCTCTGCGCTAGCTGTCGCTGTTCAGTTGATGGATAGAGCGACGCAGAACAAAGCTGGAAAGCCGCTAAAGTACGATCGCCGTATCATCATAGTAACTGATGGGAGAGGTGAGATGGACGATGGCGACTTGGATGACATTGCAATGAAGATCAAGGACATCGAAGCCCCGATCGAGATCGTACTTCTTGGTGTCGACTTTGACGACGCGGAGTACGGCTACAAGGAGGAAGACAAGGACACCCTGAAGGTAATACGATCCCCTTTTTACCGATAATAAGTACCTTACGCGTCATAGGCAAACAACGAGGAGGTATTGAAGAGCTTCGTAGAGAGCTGCGACGGCAACTTTGGCACCCTTGCAGAAGCTATTGAGCAACTCAACATCCCACGCCTGAAACAAACTCGTCCAATACCCAGCTTCAAAGGCCAGCTGACGCTTGGAGATTCGGATACTTATGACGCTACCATTACAATCGATGTAGAGCGATACCCATGCACAATGCTGGCCAAACCACCAACTGCAAGCTCTTTCGTGGTGCGTACAGATCTTGGTGCAGCAGGCCCGAGCGAAGAGTCCTCGGCTACCATGATTGGCGAAGATCATCCTATGAGCGACCTGTCGGCCGTAAGACATCAACGCGGCTACCAAATCGATGATCCTGACGAGCCAGGCGTCAAGAAAAATGTCGAGATGGAAGAACTGGAGAAAGGGTATGAGTACGGCAGAACGGCAGTCCACATTGCCGAATCTGACTTCAACGTTGTGAAGCTAGAGACACAACCTTCGTTACGCCTCATCGGATTTGCCAGAGAAGAAGAGTTCGAGCGCTACCTTCCCATGAGCCGCACCAATTACATTGTGCCGCAAAAAATGAATCAACAGTCTCAACTCGCGCTCTCGTCCTTCATTCACGCTCTACATGAAGGTGGTCTGTATGCTGTTGCCAGGCTAGTCACGAAGGAGAACAAGCCACCCATTATGGTTCTTCTAACCCCACGGATTGAGCCGGAATATGAGTGCTTGATTGACGTAGAGCTACCTTTTGAGGAAGACATGCGAAGGTACAAGTTTCCACCTCTAGACCGTAAACTCACTGTCAGCGGCAAGGTCATCTCGGAACATAGGGATTTACCCAATGCCGACCTTACTGCAGCAATGGATGCTTACGTTGATGCCATGGATCTATCGACCTTTGCAGAAGACGAGGATGGCAATCCAGACGAATACGCAAAGCCAGAAGACACATACGCCCCGCTCGTTCACCGCATCAACCACATTGTGAAGTGGCGGGCCACGCATTCAGATCCTACACTGACCATACCCGACCCACCCGCGATCCTCACAAAATACTCTGCGCCGCCTGAAGATCTCGTTACGCGTGCAAACAGCACCCTCGAATCCCTCAAGCTCGCTGCAGACGTCAAAAAGGTGCCGCCCAAGGTCAAAGGGCGTGGCAAGCGCCAACGCTCAGAGCGTGAGAAGCCCATCTCTGGTCTTGACGTCGACGCGCTACTGGGTAATCCAATACAGGTATCCATCGACCCCGCAAACCTGGTCCCTTCGTTCAAACAAGCACTCGCGGTCACAGATGACTTGGCCGCCATACAGTCTGCTGCCGACGCGATGGCCAAGGAGGTCCGCACTCTTGTTCAAAAGAGCGTGGGCGAGGGTGCGTATGGAAGGGCGCTGGAAGCCGTAAGGGTGATGAGAGACGAGTTGACTGAACTCGAGGAGCCGGAGATGTATAACAACTTCATTAGGGAGTTCAAGAAAGAATTGCTCAACGAAGAGTTGGGTGGAGATAGAAGAGAGATGTGGTGGCGGGTCAGGGGGAGTCGGTACGGGCTGATTGATCAGAAACGATCTCTGATCAGTGATGTCACGGAGAAGGAGGCAGATGAGTTCTACAAGGCTTAGAAGGCTGTAGTGACCATTCGGCGATCTTAAGCAGACTGTGTGGAGTACAGGTGCTGACGTGGCTGCTGTGTGAGCCATGGCTGATATTGTAAAACTGCAATTTGTCAACGCAAGACGTGGACTCTTCGATATAAGCGCCAAAGTAATCAAGACTTTGTTACAACAAAATCCAATGCATAGACCAGTATGTATAGACGTACTACCGTTGAACGCACGACTGCATACTCTTCCACATTACGCCGCATGAAGAACTGCGTGAATCACCAAAGACGTACATTGGCCCACTCAGCTTTGAATTCCCAGTCAACTTTCCGCGCCTCAGAGACAGAAGGCAAATCGAAGTAGGCTAATTTAATTTGCTACGATTGAGAATTCTCTGCATTCCACATCTTCTCAAAGTCCACACCCATCTCAACCAAACCTAGCCGTAACCAGCTCCGGCTTATTCCCAAAAATGCCCTCAATCTCCTCCAACACTTCAGGCGTCAGCTTCCTGTACACATCCACCGCCTTGACGGTCTGATAGATCTGCTCCGGCCTCGAAGCACCCGTGATGGCACTTGTGACGTTTTTGTTGCTCAGCACCCATGCCATGGACAGCGTAGCGACGTCAGTGTCGAGCTTCTTCGCCACCTCCATCAGCTTCCTGATCTTATCCTGCTGCTCCTTCCACGCCGGCGTGTCGACCGTCTTGATTACAGACTGGATGTACGGGTCGTCGGACGTCTTGAGGCGGCTGTCCTCGGGTACACCGTCGATGTACTTGCCCGTTAGTAGGCCACCGGCCAAGGGGGAGAAGATGGTCAATCCCAATCCCCGTCGCTCGTAGAGCTTTGCGTTGAGGAATTCGTCGTCTACCTTTTCCCGCCTCAGCAGACTGTAGCCTGGTTGCTCAACTACTGGTCCAATTAAGCCCAGCCTGTCGGCTACAGCCCACGCTTCTTCGATCTCGGATGGTAGCCATTCCGATGTGCCCCAGTAGAGAGCTTTTCCTGTGTTGATGAGGAAGTTGAAGGCGCGGACGGTTTCCTCGATGGGGGTATGCCTGTCCGGGCGGTGTGCGTAGACGATGTCTACGTACGAGAGTTGAAGACGCTCAAGCGCGGAGGCAGTGCCTTCGATTAGATGCTTGCGTGAGAGACCGAGATTGTTGATCTTGTTGCGGGGAGATGGGAGAGCGGAGGTGTGCGTACCCCAGTAGATCTTGCAGATGGTCAGAATTTGGTGCTGAGCTAGCAATGCAAAGGATTGCTGGTACCTTTGTCGATACCACGATATCGTTTCGGTTCCAGCCAAAATGCTTGATCGCTCGACCCATTACGCGCTCGGACTCGCCGCCAGCGTAGCCCTCGGCGCAATCGAAGAAATTGATGCCGGTATCGAAGGCGGCTTTGAGGCAGGCAAAGGTGTTTTCTTCACCGACATGTCCTCCGTCTTGGAAAAAGTTAGTTCACATGGTTAACAATTTCTTCGTATGTTCAACTTGCATGTCAGCCATCCGCCCAATGAGATGGCAGAAATCTGGAGACCGCTTCTGCCAACAAAGCGATACTCCATCTCCGGTAGGCCTTGAGGTACTTCTGTAGACATGTTGCTTGGTAGTGTTTAGGAATTCGTATGTGAACTGAGTAGAGGAAATGTCGAAGCAATTGACTACGAGTCGCCGGCTTTCTAATGGCCTTTATAGCTATAATGGATGACGCGAGAGTGGAGGAAGCTCACGCATTTGTAGTCTGTCATTTAGCCCTTCGTTGTAAGATGCCCCGCATGCTGCCCCACCACCAACGAGTAGGCTGGGATATTAGCCGGTTCGGGCATCGCATCCTGGTGGTAAGAGGCAGTGGCTTGCATATCAAAGTCCAACGGCTGCAACACTTGCACGGAGGA